TGCTTGACTCTGGAAGCCATGCACCCTGGCAGGGAACTGTGTCCCCCTGAATGAAGAGGTGATTTACTAATTCACGCAAAAGTGCTGCTACACATAGGCTAGTGAATGGAGGCTTGTTAGGCCCTTCTGTGTCCCTTCTTTAATGCCTTGGTCAAGTCACTTCACTTCCCTGAGCCTGGACTTCTTCACCTTGTTTTGAAGTTACACAATTTAAGAGAGTGGTACTCAACACCTGCTGATCAGTGGTCTGTCTGACTCGCTTGCTCGTTCGCTGCCTAAAGTTTTAGGGAACACAGAGCTATGAAGACTTGGTCCCCACCCACTTGAAGCTCATAGCCTGATTGAGAAGATAGGTGCTCATGGAGAAGATAAAGCAAAGCAGGTGAGAAGTACTAGAATCAGAAGGGGGAAGCTCTGAGGAGGGAGAAGTCATTGTCAGCTAGAGGCATGATGATTTTGGTGCTGTTAATAATTACCAGTGTGATAACAATAATGTAACAACAATAGCTTATGCTAATCAATGTGTGCCTTCTACCCATCAGGCACTGCATGAGGCACTTTCTTTGTGTGGCCTCTGACCCTCTGAGAGGTGACTGTCATCCTCCCATTTTATAGGTGAGGGTGGTCAAGAGTGGATTGAAGCTGGACTTTGTAGGGATGATAAGATTTAAGAGGCAGAGACTCAGGAAGGAAGGTCGTGAGGCAGAGGAGGGAAACCAATGGGCATGCGTAAGGAGTGGGCATAATCGAGGGAACCCAGAAGCTCCAGGGATGAATTGAGGTTGAGGTTGCTGGAGGAAGAAGAAGCTTGGGTGGTGGGGATGAGATGTGGGAAGCTGAGACCCTGAGAAGCCCCCAGAGGCAGACAGTTTAGGTTTTTCCCCAGTAGGAGAAAATAGGAGACCAGAGCATAAAGGGGAGTGTGTGCACAGGCTGTGCTGAGCTGTCTCTTTGAATCCTGCCGGTCTGCTAATTGTCAGAGAGGTAAAGCAACTTGCCCATGGACATCCAACTCTGAGTAGTACTGGCACTTAAATTAATAAACACATCGAGATTTGGATTTGTATTGATTTTCATGGAGCATGGGTAATGATTTTTTTATTTTTTATTTTTATATTTTTTAAAGATTTTATTTATTTATTTGACAGAGAGAGAGGGAACGCAAGCAGGGGGAGTGGGAGAGGGAGAAGCAGGCTTCACACTGAGCAGGTAGCCCAATGTGGAGCTCGATCCCAGGACCCTGGGATCATGACCTGAGCTGAAGGCAGGCGCTTAACGACTGAGCCACCCAGGCACCCTGATATTTTTAAATAGATTTGACCAATTTGCAATATACACATGAGGCTAACCTTCCCACGGTACAAAATGGAAAGCCAAGGGGCCCTGGGCAAGTCTTTTTCCTTCTCTCTTCACCAATCTCCCTAGACTCTGATGACCCTTCTCTATTTGACCTTCTATGCTTTCACCTCCATTCGTTGGCAGGAGGGATTAAACATTCTCGAGGTAGGGGAAGAGAAGAAAATACCCACATGGACTCCTGCCACCCTCCCCGCCCCGAGATTTTCCCTTGATGCATTCGGGAGACACCCAGCTTGGCTCTGAATTGGTGGGAAGACCTCCGCCCACAGAAGGAAAGTTCTTAGCCACAGAGCTGTTTTCCTTTGGGTGGCCCCCCCAAAAGAGATGGAGAGAAGAGAGGCCTGGGGGGCCAAGAACCTGGATGGCTGCCATGGATTCTTCCTCTTGGGGGAAATGGAGGCTTCTTAAAGTGTGAAAAAAAAAAACCCACATACAAGCAAGGGAGAGGCTCCAACATCCCACATGTCTGCCTTGGGCCAGGATGAGTACCACCCCTTGAAAAGATTGGCTTCTGCAATTACAACTGAATAAACAACCAATTAAAATGTCTCCCCCGCCCCACCTCACCCCATCTCTTCCTCTCACGAAACTTTCTCAGCCTAGAGCGGCAGGGCAAAGAGGTGACTTTGTCTAATAACATCTGTGTTCTCTGCCTGAGAGAATGCTTGATGGAAACGGACAAATCAATTAGAAAAAAATAAATAATGTGGAAAGGGCTTATCCAAGAAAATCTCGGCTTCTCTTTGTTTTCATTTGCCCACGCATTGTTTCCCTTTGCACCGTGGCCCTGCGTGAGCCTGGAAATGAGAGTGAGGCTGTGGGAAGAATTGGACACATCGAGATTTGTGCTTGGCTTTGTCACTATTTATGTGATCTCTGAACCCCTGTTCCTTCATCTGTAAGATGGGGATAAATAATAGGAATAGCTAAACACTGATTGAGCTTTTCTACATGCCAGGTATTGTCCTAAGTCCTTTATGCTTCCTTTATTATGTCCCAAATCCTCTGGGCAACCCGATGAGGTAGACTGTTTTGTGTGTATAGATACTGGGGCCCAGGCAGTGAAGTACATTGACCAGGGTGACCACACATCGGGGGGGAGGAGCTGGATTCAAACCCAGGACTCTGGCTTGAGAACAAGTCATCCTACCCACGATGCTGCATAACTTCAAATACTGCAGAGATGGGATGACAGGAGTTCGCTACCATGGGGGCTGGCATACAGCAAGTGCTTAATAAATGTTGGTTTTCTCTTTCCTCTTTCCTTCTCTGATCACAGAGTAGACTGGCCAAAACTCCTTATGAGGCTTCCAGGCTAAGAGGGTGAAGGCTAGGATTTCCAGGGCGAGAAAGCATGGCAGCAAGATTTCGGGTCAATATCTGAGCGTGTGGCCATTTTGAAATTGTTCAGTTCAAGCCAGACATGGCTATGACCTCTTTTGGCCCTGTCTGTATCTCTAACTCATGTTCACCTTTTTTTGAAGAGCCATAAAAAAATTGTCACATGATCAATTATGGGCTCTTGATGATGTAAGGGACGAGGAGGGCTCTCTAGGTCTCAAATGTATCCATTCCCATTGGAGTAGAGGGGTGGGTCTGTGACCTGTAGGAATGCTCTGGGAAGCACCAAGTAGCTGCTGCTAATCCCAGTGTATTAGTAAGGAAACTGAGGCCTCATAGGAAGGAGACCGGGACCTAAATATTTTAGCTTTTTTCTTTCCCAATGTAAATTCAACCCCATCGATATCTACTGAGTGCTCGCCCCGGGGGGCAAGCCCTATACTGAGAACCCGGTAAACAGAAATGGATAAGGCACATGCCCTGCCCCAGGGAGCCACAGACAGTGGTGGATATAGACAGGTGGAGTGATGATTTGGAATGGTGTGAATGCACGTACTTATAGGAGGTGGATGAGTGTAGAAATGGTAAAGGAGGTGGAGGAGAGATGGGAATCAGGGAAGCCTTCCTTGAGGAGCGGTACCAGCATGGGCTTTGGATTTGTTCATCAGAGGACAAAATGCAGAGCAGAGTCCCTGACAGAGGGAACAACATGAGTGAAGGCGCCACAGATGATGCATCATGGTGGGTGCCCCCAACCCACGGTGGGAGATTCAGGAGAGGGAGCCGAGAGAGATGGGGCTAGAGAGGGAGGCAGCGTCTTGGGGGCCATGCTGGGGACCTTGGACTTACTCTTTCACATACAGGAGGCCCTTCTATAACCCCAGGAGGGAAGGAGAAGGGAACTGTCATAAGTATTCTACCAGCCAGGATTTGTGTCAACGCCTCAGGGACAGATAGCATTATGAAAAAGGAAAGGTCTGAAGCGAGGTCTGAAGCTTAAGTCTCTTTTCCCTCCTCCAGAATATAGGCATCATAATACTACCTACCTCGGTCTTATTAAGAAGATTAAAGGAGATAATCCACGTAAAGTTGGACCACATAGAAGGGCCCATCAGACATTAAGTATCATTATTCATAGGCTTCATCTCACCTACTACATCAAGCTGCCTACTGGCTTGTTTATGTATGTTTTTATTTATTGATTCATTTCCAGCCTTACTCAAGAAATGATTATCAGCTGCTCACAAGGATACATGACAGCAGACATAAAATGGAGGCTGAGAGACTCAAGAGAGGGGAGCTAAATGCCTCTGTCGATTTAGAAAATGATCCGTTGAGTAATATGCCGGTGACTGATGGAAAGCTTTAGCATTTCAGTGGTGATAGGAGAGTTCATATTCTGTGAAGGAGGAGTTCTTACTTACTGAGCACCTAGGATGTGCCCAGTCTCTTTCCAAAGACCATTTCTTCCTCTCACCAACCTGTGATCATTCTACGTGTTAAAGAGGTGATGATGATAATGGAGAGTTAGTTTGCTTTCCTGACCTGTCAGTCTAAGTGGTAGCCACTCCAAATACAACATCCCTCTCCAAGTCCATTTTACAGACAACTAAATAGAGGCTTACAGCATGCAGAATCATCTGGGGGGTGGGGGCAGCGTGATGCCCAGTGACAAGAGCGTAGGTTTCCAAGGTAGAGAGAATTGGCCCTGAAACCCAGTTCTGCAACTTTGGGCAACCTTTTTAATCACATGTGGGCCACATGTTCCTTATCTTGAAAACAGAGCAATAATGCCTCTCTGCAAGATTGGTATAGAGAGGCAAAGCAGGCCTCCTAGTGCAGCTCCATATTTGACAAATAAATGGTCTGACGTCCATAGTGAATGAGTGAGGTAAAGAAGAAGCCAAGACTAGAATGCATGTTGTCTTTTTCATGGTCTGTATTCTTGATTTGCATCCTCACTGTGTGGCCCTTTCATCAGGCAAGATAGCAAAGTCCTTAAGGGCAAAGATGTTGATTTTAAGTAAATGTACGCTCTAAACTGAACTCTGCTATTTATAAGCTGAGCAAACTTGTCATGTCTCTTCAACTTAATAAGGACTTAATTTTCTTAGCTGTAAAATGGGATCATCTCCACTTGCTTTATAATATTATTGGGGGAAGCCATTGAGGTGACGTGTATAAGGGTTTAGCGAAGTGCCTGGCACATAGTAGCTCTTAATTACTCGGGGGAATAGCTGTTATTTGAACAGTACCTTTTTTGGATGGTGATGACAGCCAAGGTTCTTTTTTTGTTACAGAGCATACTTGGATGTTAATGAACTGAAGAACATTCTTAGACTGGATGGATCAACACACCTTAATATCTTCTTTGCAAACTCCTCGGAGGAGGAATTGGCAGGAGTAGCAACTTGGCCATGGGACAAGGAGGCCCTAATGCACTTAGGTGAGAATTAGAAACTTCTTCAGGAGGAAATTGGATTAGCACAGGAGTAACTTTAGTGGTGATGATGATGGTGGTGGTGATCGTGACCATGACGATGGTGATGGTAGTGGTGATGGTGAACGATCTCTTTACTGTTTTTCAGTTTACAGAACTCCTTAGCACTTCTTATCTCGTCTCCACCACCAAGCATTGCTCTGAAGAAAATAACATGATATCATTAGCCCTGTTTTGCCGATGGGGAAACTGAGACCCACAGAAGGAACAGGGCTTATCCAGGGTCACACACAAGTCCGTGGCTGAGCCACATTTGGAGTTCAAGTCTCCAGTTCTGTCTATTGATAGCTTTCTTCTTCTACCCCTTGCCTCTTAGAGCATGCAAATATCTTCCCAGTCCAGCAACCACGTGTTGCTGACACAGCCAGTCAGGGCTTGACTTGAGAGATGCCAAAGAGACAAGAGAAAGCAAGCTAGTTAAGACCTCTTTGTTCCTCTGTGGTCCACCAACACCACCAGGAACTCTTCTTACATCCAAAGTATTCATATCCATAAGCCAGGCATGTATTTACACAAACCCATCACCAAGAGTCAGAAAAGACAATGGTTTCTGAACCAGGCCCTGTAAGTAAACAGTGTAGCTCTTTAATTTTGATTTTTCTGTGCTCTCTTCCAGTACATGCCTGTATGTGCATGTGTTTTTTGGTAACTTGTGCATATTTGAAAGCATAGATAAAATGTGACTCCGTGAGCCCCATGACTGAGCAAGCTCACCCTCCTGGCAGTTCAACCCAAGATAATTTTTTTTTACTTCATATTATGCTACCTATATTATTCCACATGGTAGCAGTTTTCCTAATCACTTCCCACCCAACTTTTTCACTTAACATCACAAGACAAAAGCATCCTTCCGGGTTATTTCCATCTCTCTAAAGGTGATGTTTTTAATGACCACACAATATTCCATTGAGTGAGGGCACTACAACGTGCTCAACCTTTTTTCCCTCGATAGAATGTTCCCGTTGTTTACGCCAATGGATAGCAATGCCTCCCTTGTTGAGCATCCTCATCTGGGGAGGTTAGGGCTCAGGAGAGTGACAGTCTTGGTGTTTGCCAAGGCCCGCTGCTCCCCCAGTGATACAGCCAGGGTCCAGTCACTGTCTTCAATCTGTGGTATCTTGGAAATGAAGGACTCTGCAGCTTCACATGATAGAGACTTCAAACTCTAGAGTTAGTTCCCTCTAGACTGCTCTCATTTCCCACTTGTTTTTAAGGGAATGAAACCAATGTGTGAGTGTGTGTGCGCACGCAAGTGCATGCGTGCTAATGTGTTGTTGTGGTATAAATAGAGCTGGAGACAAAGAGAAATCTGTAGTGGTTCCCAACTGGGGGAATTTTATCCTCTAGGAGACATTTGGCCGTGTCTAGAGATAGTTCTGGCTGTTACAAATGGGGGAATGCTACTGGCATCTAGTGGGTAGAGGACAGTGATGCTGCTAGATCTACAGATTTAGCAAGAATTATCCAGTCCAAAATGTCCGTCATGCTGAGGTAGAGAGACCCTGATGATGGATGGATAGACAGACAGACAGAGGTTGGGCAGGAAAGAGCATGCAACTTAGACACACATGAAGGTAGACAATTTGTTTCTATGGTGTGCCTGGTATGACATATGGGAATCCTACTGGCCCACAGCAATACACAGGGTTGTTCTCAGCTTTGATTCTACTTGGCAGTATGGCCTTAGGCAAGTCTCTTTCCTTCCCCAAGTCCCAATTTACTCAGGTTTTAAATGAACAGGTTAGACTAGATGGTCTCCAAGGACAGTTCTCGACACCGAAATGCTGTCCTATTGGAAAAGCAACTGGAAGGCTCTTGATCCGAGTCTTAGAAAGCTTCTAAAGTTAGAGAAAAATACTCCTGATGATTCCGTGAATTTCCGAGACTGGCTCAGGACCAGGAATACAGAAGGCTATAAATCCATAGCATGTTCTAGTGTTTCAGGATGATGTCAGACTCTAACTATTTCACCTTTTAAGAGAAGCAGTGAAACAGGACTCAGGTTCTGGGCTGTAGCTCTGTGCAAAGGGGTGAGTCGGAGGGGATAAGGTAAAGCAAACAAAGCTGGCCCGGACATCAAGTCTACAGTCCTGTCATTATCCCTGGAAATACCTGTGGGGTCCTGCACCTTCCCAGCCCCCTGCCCAGTGCCTCCATGTTGAACCCTCATGGAGAAACAGAATCATTGGCACTGTTGTAGCTGTTTATTTTAGAGCTCACCAGAGATGCAAAGTCACTTTTCCAAGATCACACAGCCGGGGGCAAGCAGAATGAGGGTTGCTAACTGCCCAGGGCCCCCAGCCCCCAGCCTGCCATCTTCCCATCCCAAGAAATGTTGGCCAGAAGCAATTACTCCACATGAACCCCAATCAAACCCAACTTATTAGAAGCATACATATATTTTTACCTTCTTTTCCTGCTGTGATGCCATGATCCCTGGAAAAAGCCTTGGGTAGGAAGGGGATTATGTTTCATATTATGATTGACAGAAAATAATTGAGAGAGATTTCCTGTCTCAATTTCTCTTCTTCCCTGCCTCTCTGCCTGCCCCTTCTCACACACGCACACGTGTGCACACACCCCCACACACCCTCTCGTACATCTTTATCTCTGTGCTAGAAGGCTCTGAGCAGTTCAGAATTAATAGACTCCGTGAGCCCCATGACTGAGCAAGCTCACCCTCCTGGCAGTTCAGCCCAAGATAAAACTCGCCCCACGCCTGCCAGTTCAGATCAACATGGCCCTGCTTTATCACCATTCTTTATAAGACACTGCTCTGCACTTAAACTCACGACTTGCAGAGTGTTTGGACCTGAATTTTAACCTTCTCTTAAACACACTTGGATTTTAAAGTTTAAATGTCTCCCTACCAGCCTATATGCATTTCTCCAGTGCCTAAAATGAACATGAAAAATGCTGTCCATTGATTCTACTGAAATCTGTTCCATCTATCTGCCTAAGCTAAGCCATGCTCAATCATCGAAGACATGGGGGGTAGACCATGGCTTCTCAAACTAGAATGTACAGACGAGCCATCTGGGGCCCTTATTAGAATACAGATTCTGATTCTGTAGGTCTGCAGTAGGGCCCGAGATTCTGCATTTTTAATCCCTTCCAGGTGATGGTCCTGCTGCTTATTCTCAAGACACTCATCAAGTCTTGAGTAGTTAGATACCCACTGACCCACTTTGAGTCATGGTGCTATGCAAGCTGCTTATGTGTGCTTAGGTGGACCTCAGAAAACTTCTTTCGTTGGGCTAATGTTCAGAGATTCAACACACATGTAATGAGATGCCATATTCCAGGCCCTGTGATTGGCACCCGTGGTAGAACTCATTAAGAGGCCTGGCTCTGGAAACTAAGGATCTCAAATTCCAGCGTGACACCTTTCCTAACTCCCGATCATGAGCCAGTTACTTCACCTGTCTGGGAATCAGTCTCTCCTATTTGGGTTGTGAGTTGAGTAAGTGTGATTATACAAATGAAGCCCTGAGCACAGGGCCCGAGGATACATGATAAATGCCCAAGAGACATTGGCTGTAATGACACTGTCCTAATGATGAGCTCAACATGATGCTGGCCCTCATGAGTGCTCACTCTCAGAGAGGACCAGAAATGAAGAAGTGGGATTCAGGGATGGTAATCAACTTGCTCAACGTCCTAGCATTAGCAAGGGCAGAGTGAGGACTGGGACCATGGTATCTGACCATGAGGGCTCCAATTGGACTAGACTGTGCGAGATGTTTGTAAACCAGGACATGCCTTACTGTTGAAGGACAAGGTGGCAGCAGAAATGTCCACCAGCCCAGAAATCAAAGTCCTTAAATACTGATCATGCCCCTTCGTTAAGTAGTTTGAGGTCACCTCAGTTAGGGTGTCTTACTTCTTCAGCATTGGTGTTTTCATCTGAAAAATGGAAGGATTGCACAGAATGACTCTTGAGACTCCTTCCTACCCAATCAGTGGTGCATATCACAAGTCATAACAGTTCTCGGGGCCATGGAGTCACAGGGTGGAGAAGCCTGTGGTTACTTTGGGCAGCACCCCATTTGCCTCTGATTGATTGGGTGATTTCTGCAGCAGGAAGCAGAGTGCCACACTTGCTCAATGCTCTGGTTTTCCCTTTGCAGGTGGCATTGTCTTGAATCCGTCTTTCTATGGCATTCCTGGGCACACCCACACCATGATCCATGAGATCGGGCACAGCCTGGGCCTCTATCACATCTTTCGAGGCATCTCGGAGATCCAGTCTTGCAGTGATCCCTGCATGGAGACAGAGCCCTCCTTTGAGACCGGAGACCTCTGCAGTGACACCAACCCAGCCCCAAAACACAAGCTCTGCGGTGATCCGGGGCCAGGGAATGACACCTGTGGCTTCCATAGCTTCTTCAACACCCCTTACAATAACTTCATGAGCTACGCAGGTAGGACTCCCCGCTCAGCCAGGCGCTCAGCCAGGCGCATGCGGCTGGGTGTCACTCACGGGCTCCAGTCCTGGCTCAGAGGAGCCTTGGGAAAGCTGCTTTCCTTTTCTAAGACTTCTTCAACCCAACAGTCCCTCATCCCAGACAATCAGGATGTGACAGTCCTTGTGTGAGATCTCAGGGGTTCATGGGAGCTGTTGCATCTGATGTCTCCTCAGAAAGACACACTTTAAGGAGCTGTCTGGGGCCCAAGGTCAGGAGACCTATGTAGCAGTTCTAGCTCTACCACTGGGTCACCCAGTGCCTATGGGTCTGTCACATTCCGTCTCTGGGTCTCCCTTCACTCAAGAAAATGGAATCTTCGGATCCGAGGAATCTTGGAGAAGGTTCATCTAATTTTGCAGTTGTATTTTTCTAAGCTGGTGGTTACTGCAACTCTTTCTTTATCTTTCCTTTTTTTTAACTGCAACTTTCTCTTAAATATAAAGCTCTTATACTCTCCTTTACTCTTTTTTTTTTTT